GTTAGCCCTTTGTGTGCTTTGGGCAGGTAATGTGATTGATTACCAATTGTACAGCGCTATGGAATCTGATGGCGCTATATAAATAATAAAATAATAAATAATAATAATTACATTAGCAGGAAGGAGAACCACAGCAGGCCAAGTTTCCTGGGAGTTATTTTGCAGCAGCTGGAATCTATGTTTCAGTTACCAGTTAGGATTTTACTGAATGCCAGTTATTGTAAAGCACGTTGGCTGGTATCTGGGGGAGCAGAGTTGAACAGATGGCGTAGAAGGTGACCCAGCCATGCCCAGGGCTTTCTGTCCCTTGTAATGTCCTGCGCCCGGCTTGTTTGCTCTGCAGGGCAGCACGCGGCATCCCAGCTCTCTCAATCAGTGTGTGCACTAGATAAAACTCCAGCTGGGCTGTTGGCTGTGTTAAAGGAGTGGGTGCAAACACTGCTACTGACATGGAAAACCTTTGCCCTCCTTATTGATCCACAAACCTTGGATTTGAACTATCTGCTGGAAATCAGTGATTCACTAATTCAGAACGGAAAGATTTCTATAGACAAATATAGTAATGGTGTAAATGAGGCGATCTGACTCAGCCATAGGTAACCTTTAGCGCTCACCTGGCCAACGTACTCGAGGAAAACACTGGTTATGTGTGTACGCAGCAAGCCACGTCTACACGTGGCGTAATCTGATGGTAACTAAGGGGATGTAAAATGTGTTACTAATGGCACACACCCCTCGACTATTGCTGTTCCTTTTTACTGGTTTGTTGGAAGCATCATTGTTATTATAATAACCGCGTATTCCGCCATGCTTTACAATGATACAGTGGGGATATATAACATCGAATAACAGACAGAATAATGACAAAATAAACACGAGATGAAGCGGGCCTTGCCTGAATGATCTCACACTCCAGATTAGTTTCTTACCCATTGTACTGCGCTATGGAATATGATGGTACTTAATGAATTATAAAAATAATTCAAAGTCCCGTTACTGCCAGATCTTAGTGATGTAAAATGCTGTGTTGAAGCTTTTTAAATGGTGATAATATTAATCTGCGTCACTACAAAAATTGCAGAAATGGAAAAATAACTTACCTGAAGATTTTATTTTTCTCATTTGACTATTTTTCCAATAGCATGGTTTAAAAAAATCCCTGGTCAATTCCTGGTTTGGCAGCTACCTTATTAATTCACTAAAAAGTGAATATCAGTCAGAAATCCAAATTGCCTAATTTAAGCCATAATAGTAGTTGTAAAACAGTTAACTTTGAACACTTTTCTAATACTGTTTTGGTGTAAAAGTTTCAGTTTGGCTTCCAATTTTTTGAGATGCACTATTTTGTGAATAAGCCCCACCACTTGTCATTAAGGCTCTATATTAGTCTGTGGAAGCCATGCCAACCGGGTACTGACATTAAAGGACCACTATAGTGCCAGGAAAACATAATCGTTTTCCTGGCACTATAGTGCCCTGAGGGTGCCCCCACCCTCAGGGTCCCCCTCCCGCCGGGCTCTGGGGAGAGGAAGGGGTTAAACACTCACCTTTCTCCAGCGCCGGGCGGGGAGCTCTCCTCCTCCTCTCTGCCTCCGCTCCTCCTTTTCGGCTGAATGCGCACGCACGGCAAGAGCTGCGCGCGCATTCAGCCGGTCTCATTGGAAAGCATTTACAATGCTTTCCTATGGACGCTGGCGTCTTCTCACTGTGAAAATCACAGTGAGAAGCACGGAAGCCCTCTAGCGGCTGTCAATGAGACAGCCACTAGAGGATTTGGAGGCTGGATTAATCTTCTGCTATGTTTTAAAAAAAAAAAAAGGTTAACCCTAGAGGGACCTGGCACCCAGACCACTTAATTAAGCTGAAGTGGTCTGGGTGCCTAGAGTGGGCCTTTAACACCTCAGAGGCAAAACAGAGAGTTGTTCACAAAACAGTGTATTGTATGTGATTAACTGAAAAACATATTGTGAAATTCAGGCATTACAGCCAACTGCAACTAAACATATGGCCCAGATGCCACAATTTGTTGTTCAGTTTATGAAATGCACATATAAATGAAGACACCCCATGAAGTTTATCCCTCTGTATTTACCAATCTTAGAAGAATTCAGACAGAAAACATGCAACTCCAATCATGCTCAGTCAGCCTCTACAAAGAATGGTGCCCACCCTGCTTGGCAGAAACGGCATCGCTAAGTGTCACCATTAGGGAAGGGGTATAAGTTATGCGGCATCTTTATTTACTATTATTATTTAATAATATTTATATTATGGAAATTATTATATGTAGTATTTGATATCATTTAATTATAAAAATGGCTTCATGTTTTTTCCCCTTACATTTACAAAGTGTTCAGTAGTGCTTTAACAATTTACATCTCTTTTAACTCAGAAAATCTGCTTATGTACTTTTTTAACTATTTTGGTATTTTCATGTGCCAAGAATTCTATTGATATTAATGTATGAGTCTAGAACTATATTAGCATTGATTTATGTGTCAAGAATTCTGTTGGTGTGTCTAGAACTCTATTGGTGTATGTGTCTAGAACTCTATTGATATATGTGTCTAGAACTCTGCTGGTGTATGTGTCTAGAACTCTATTGGTATTGATATATGTGTCTAGAACTTTATTGGTGTATGTGTCTAGAACTCTATTGGAATTGATATGTGTCTAGAACTTTATTGGTGTATGTATCTAGAACTCTACTGGTATTGATATGTGTCTAGAACTTTATTGGTGTATATGTCTAGAACTCTATTGGTGTATGTGTCTAGAACTTTATTGGTATTGATATATGTGTCTAGAACTTTATTGGTGTATGTGTCTAGAACTTTATTGGTATTGACAGATGTGTCTAGAACTCTATTGGTGTATGTGCCTAGAACTCTATTGGTATTGATAGATGTGTCTAGAACTCTATTGGTATTGATAGATGTGTCTAGAACTTTATTGGTGTATATGTTTAGAACTCTATTGGTGTATGTGTCTAGAACTCTATTGGTATTGACAGATGTGTCTAGAACTCTATTAGTGTATGTGCCTAGAACTCTATTGGTATTGATAGATTTGTCTAGAACTCTATTGGTGTATGTGCCTAGAACTCTATTGGTATTGAGACGTGTCTAGAACTCTATTGGTGTATGTGTCTAGAACTCTATTGGTGTATGTGTCTAGAACTCTATTGGTTTTTGCTAGATGTGTCTAGAACTCTATTTGTGTATGTGCCTAGAACTCTATTGGTATTGATAGAGGTGTCTAGAACTCTTTTGGTATTTATAGATGTGTTTAGAACTCTGTTAGTATTGATGTATGTGTCTAGAACTCTATTGGTGTATGTGTCTAGAACTCTGTTGGTAATGATATATGTGTTTAGAACTCTCCTGGCCTTGGTTTATGTGCTTAGCCCTCTCTTGGTATTGATATGTAGGGTTTGAACTCCGTTGTTATTAAAATGTGTTTCTAGAACTCTATGTTTATTAATTTATGTGCCTAGAAGGCTATTGGTATTATTGTATGTGTCTAGAACTCTATTGATCCTTATGTATGTGTCTAGAACTATATTGATAGTTACATATGTGTCTAGAACGCTATTGATAGATTTCTTACTATCAACAGAGTTCTGTCAGTAGAGTTCTAGACACAACTATCGATAGATTTCTTACTATCAATAGAGTTCTATCGATAGTTGTGTCTAGAAATCTATTGATACTTATGTGTCTAGAACTCTACTGATAGTTATGTATATGTTTAGAACTCTATTGATAGTTATGTGTCTAGAACTCTATTGATCCTTATGTATGTGTCTAGAACTCTATTGATAGTTGTGTGTCTAGAACTCTATTGATCCTTACATATGTTCTAGAACTCTATTGATAGTTGTGTCTAGAACTCTACTGATAGTTATGTATGTGTTTAGAACTCTATTGATAGTTATGTGTCTAGAACTCTATTGATCCTTATGTATGTGTCTAGAACTCTATCGATAGTTCTGTGTCTAGAAGTCTATTGGTATTGTATGTGTCATTATAAACGTATTGTATCATTAGATCAGGGTCACTAGGTCCATCTAGTTTGTTTAAAGGGACACTCCACTTCCCAAATACAAAGTAAATACAAATCACTGCTTAGTAGATATACCCCAAATGAAAACATGCATGTATTTAATTATGTATATTTTCATTTGGCATGTAACTAAAATCAAATTACAAAACCTGCAGTTCACTTGTCGGCTGCCCTTGCAAGTAGGGATCGACCGATATTGATTTTTTAGTGCCGATACCGATCTGTGAACTTTCAAGCCAATAGCCGATATAATTTGCCGATATTCTGTACATTTACCATTTTGGAAAATAAAAACTATTTCTAAAGGTAAATGCTCAAAATATACATGCCAGGTGTAGTGGATGCAGTGTGTTTAGACAGGGGAGCTGTGTGTGTTTGTATAGTGTGTGTGTGTAGTGGATGCAGTGTGTGTTTGTGTAGTGTTTGTGTAGTGGATGCAGTGTGTGTTTGTGTAGTGTGTGTGTAGTGGATGCAGTGTGTGTTTGTGTAGTGTGTGTGTTGTGGATGCAGTGTGTGTTTGTGTAGTGTGTGGATGCAGTGTGTGTTTGTGTAGTGTGTGTGTTGTGGATGCAGTGTGTGTTTGTGTAGTGTGTGTGTTGTGGATGCAGTGTGTGTTTGTGTAGTGTGTGTGTTGTGGGTGCAGTGTGTGTTTGTGTAGTGTGTGTGTTATGGATGCAGTGTGTGTTTGTGTAGTGTGTGTGTTGTGGATGCAATGTGTGCTTGTGTAGTGGATGCAGTGTGTATTTGTCTAGTGTGTGTAGTGGATGCAGTGTGTGTGGGTAGTGTGCGTAAAGTGAATGCTGTATATACTAAATGCAAAGTGTGTGTGTTTGTGTAGTGTGTGTATATAATGAATACAGAGTGTGTGTGTATTTGTGTAGTGTGTGTATAGTGAATGTAGTGTGTTTATATAATGCAGAGTGTGTGTTTGTATAGTGTGTGTATATAATGCAGTGTGTTTGTGTAGTGTGCATTATATAAACACACTACACAAACACACTGCATTATATACGCAGTGTGTTTGTGTAGTGTATGTGTATATAATGGAGTGTGTGTGTTTGTATAGTGTGTGTGTGTGTGTGTGTGTGTATAATTCAGTGTTTTTGTATAGTGTGTGTATATAATGCAGTGTGTTTGTGTAGTGTGCATTATATAAACACACTACACAAACACACTGCATTATATATACACACTATACAAACACACTGCATTATATACACAGTGTGTTTGTGTAGTGTATGTGTATATAATGGAGTGTGTGTGTGAGGGGGCATTTTTTATTAAATTATTATTATTTTATATTTAATTATTATTTATTTTTGTTGTCCCCCCTCCCTGCTTGTTGCCTGGCCAGGGAGGGGGGATATAGCATTCCCTGGTGGTCCAGTGACATTGGCTGAGCTGTGGGGAGGCGGGCAGCAAGCGCTTACTCACCTCCCAGCAGCTCCTCCAGCTCCCCAGTGTAAGTCTCCCGCGGGTCTTGCGAGAGTTACACTGGGGAGCTGGAGGAGCTGCTGGGAGGTGAGTAAACACTTGCTGCTCGTCCCCTCAGGACCGCCGGGCTTGTAATGAGCCTGGCGGTCCTAGGAGGTGTTATCGGCAATATCGGTATCTGAATTGGCCGATACCGATATTGCCGAGAATACCGAATATCGGACGATTATATCGGTAAAACCGATAATCAGTCGATCCCTACTTGCAAGCTCTCCCCTTTTAAGCTGTCCAATCACAAACTTCCTAGTAGATCAATGAGAAATCATTGTACGTCAGGTGCTCTGGGCAATTACTGCCTTTTGAGGTCAGCTGCATTGAGCTAACAAAACCAGGAAGTACCAGTACCTGTTGTCTGATTGAAAGCCAAGGGGGTGTAACCAGGTTAATTTATAAAAGTGTCAAGTTCTATTGAAATCTGCACTTTTTGCAAAATGAAAAAAAAGAGGACACACTCTGTTAGGGCTCTGGAGTGATCCTTTAATTGTTTCTCATGAATAATAACATCCTAAACTACTTCAACTACTAAGGCCGGTGGGTACCAGCCTGTACCATCTGTGCCCAAACCAGTAATATATTATCTGTTGTGTTGGCGTCACAGTGAGTGTGCCAACAAACACCTGCTGGTCCATACACACATTCCCATGTCCGACCCTCTGCCTGCTGGTCCATACACACATTCCCATGTCCGACCCTCTGCCTGCTGGTCCATACACACATTCCCATTTCCGACTCTCTGCCTGCTGGTCTTTACACACATTCCTATGTCCGACCCTCTGCCTACTGCTTTTTATACACATTCCCATGTCCGACCCCCTGCCTGCTGGTCTTTATATTATACACATTCCCATGTCCGACCCCGTGCCTGCTGGTCTTTATATTATACACATTCCCATGTCCGACCCCGTGCCTGCTGGTCTTTATATTATACACATTCCCATGTCCGACCCCCTGCCTGCTGGTCTTTATACACATTCCCATTTCCGACCCTCTGCCTGCTGGTCTTTATACACATGCATGCACTGTACTTCACCCAGTGTTTATCAAATTATACAGTAAAACAGAACCTGTTCCAGGACAGTTTGTTACCACTAGGGACAAGTGTTTGGCAGATTCATTAACGTTGGGCACAGACTGCTCGCTTTATGGAGTTAGTGTGGTCTGGCAGAGGTTATATGTGGCGTCCCATGCCCAGTGCGGCTGACGATTTATTACCTCTTCCTATCAGATCCTGTGATGGGGAAACCCCAATTACTGCAACATTAACTACCTGCTCATTCTTACACAATCTATTTTTATCTGTGTCACAATTCTATTTTAATAAAGAGTAAACTTTTCAATTGCTGCCATTTTTCTTTTATTTTGCACATTTTATTTGTAAATGAGAAAGGTGACGTTTCTTTGATTTTTGTTATATTATAATCCGATGTAATAAATAATGTGATTCTAAGCAGATTTTCATATTGTACAGCCTACAGGATAGAACCTGGATTACCATTCGGTAAGAAACCTATATTGCAGCTTTATAGACAGAGTTAGATTGTTTGGTAGTGGCTATAACTGTAGAACTAATATCTAAAGTTAGGTGTAGCGCGGTGGGCATCTAGGACTTGCTGAGCATTATGGGAGATGTAGTTCAGCTGCAGACCTACCAGAACGGCTGCCATAGTAGGGTTTATTCAGATGGCTACAATTTAACTGTCCTTGTTTTAGAGGTAATAGCAAGACCTAGCATCAGATAAACTGCCTGTAGTGTGTGGCTTTAGCTGTGTCCCCACTAATTATTCTGTTGTTGGGATTTCCAGATCCTTAGTATTTGGTTGGGATTGTCTTGGTGTTAAGAAAGTTTAACGATGAACGATTTATCGTTATATTCATTGGAAGTTTAAAGATTAACAATCTCATTGGTTCGTCACTATGTGTATACCGGGACCGTTCTGGCCTGGATGACCATGGTACGGAGGTGGGTTATAAGTAAGAAATGCTGGAGTATCATGGGATTTTTGTCTTGGAAGAAGAGAAGGTGTCAATGTTCCCATTAGAAATGTCCAGAAAAGTTCAAGGGAAAGATGCCGGAGGAGTCCTTGTGTGCACGAATAGTCACCTTGCCAAAGCCGGGAAAAACTCCCGATAGATGCCCTAACTTTAGGCCCATTTCTCTGATTAATAATGATTCAAATATTTATTCTAAAGTTCTCGCTAATAGATTAACCAAATTACTCCCATTGCTAATTACGGTAATAAGGATCAAGTAGGTTTTGTACAGAATAGACAGGCACCAGACGGAACTAGAAGATTCATAAACTTGATTCAGCACATCAATATGACCAAAACGCCTTCTTTGCTTCTATCTCTAGACGCAGAGAAGGCGTTTGACAGGATACATTGGGGATATTTATGGAGAACATTAGACAGGTTCAACATACCATCATCCTTTATCACAGCAATTAAGGCGCCATATTGCGCACCCTCCGCCCATGTCTCAGCTTCTGGCTTCACATCCAAAACTTTTTCTCTAACCAACGGGACGAGACAGGGGTACCCTTTATCTTCAATTTTGTTTGTCTTAGCGATAGAACCCCTGGCAGAACTAATTAGAACGACCCCACAAATTGTAGGAATTGCTATTAAAGAATCTGTTCACAAAATTGGCCTGTTTGCAGACGATATAATCCTAGCTGTCAAAAACCCAAAGGAATCTTTGAGACACCTTAAGGACATTTTAACTCAATTTGGTGATATATATCGTACTACAAATTAAATGAGTCCAAAACTCAGGCCTTCCCGTTTCATTTAAACAATTTGGAAACCATTGCCCTTAAGAAATCATATTTATTTGATTGGAGAACTGACTATATGGAATATCTTGGCATTAATTTATGTAATAATTTGGTCAATATGCACAATCACAACTTGAGGAAAGCATGGTCGGACTTACAAAAAAAGATGGAGAGATGGGGCGGGACGGAGCTCTTATGGATGGGGAGGGTCGCATCTATTAAAATGACGATACTCCCCCAAATTTTATATTTTTTTAGGACCATTCCTCTGTTCATTCCATTATCATTTTTTAATAAAGTTCACTCAACAATGCTGAAGTTTATCTGGGGGAACAAGCCTGCCCGAGTAAGGCTCACTTCCCTGCAGCACCATAAATCGAATGGCGGTATAGGTGTCCCCGATATCCGCAAATATTATTTCGCCACTAACGCTGCAGTGGTTGTGAGCTTTAACAACCAGGTTGATAAACCCAGATGGATGGAAATAGAAGAATCAAAAATTTTACCAGTTAGATTATCAGAATCACCTTGGTTAAATCCTACGCTTAAGGCCTGGGACATTGTTTTTAAAAATGACCAGTCTCCCAGTTTATATAGAGCAATGCCTATTGAGTTATTGAAAGATTATATACCATCCTTAAAAATAGAATTGTTGAAGGATTGCTCTATAACTAATCTGGACAATTTTTTTCATGGCAATGCTATTCTTTCTTTGGAAAAATTGAAGCTTTAGTATGGATTGTCAAATGTATGTGAACTGGAATGTATGCTAATCGTTGACAAATTGAAAGAACTATATCAGGTATCTGAAACAGATAAAAACTATAAATCACTTGAGTTATCTTCTTTAGAGAAAGTTTTTTTATACAGCCCCGCTAGTAAAGGTATGATATCCTTATGCTATTTGTTTCATAATGCCAAGCCATTAGTTAAATTAAAACAAATGTTGTCATAGGAGATGGAGTTGGGTGCCCAGTACGATTTAGAAGAATGGTTCGGATTTTTTAAAGGTTTAAAAGGTATTTCGTATTGCACCGACCATTTTGAAAATCATTATAAAATCTTATATCGCTGGTACCTGGCTCCGTCTAGATTGCACAACATGAACAATATGTATTCTGACCGGTGTTGGAGAGACTGTGGGGGAGTGGGCAATACGGCCTATATCTAGTGGTTCTGCCCCAAATTAAGTAATTATTGGAAAATGATTCATGATCTAATTATTAAAGTGAACAGAACCATTAGCATCTTAACTTCGGAACTAGCCTTATTTAAAAAACTCCCGGAGTCTGTTAATAGTTCAGATAAAATAATCATAGGCCACATTCTGATCGCTGCTACATCCTGTTTACCTAGACATTGGAAGTCCCAAAATGTGCCATCTCTCAGAGAAGTTTTTAATTTGATTCTAGAAAACAAGGCACACGAATTATCGCATAGAGCCAATATGCATGGTTTCCCAATACTAAAATATAATTGGGATAAATGGGAAGAAAAAATCAAAACAGTTTATGGTCTTTGATATATTTATTGTTAAAGTGCACTGATGTACAACATTTTGCCATATACATTGTTATGCTTATTTCAATGATGGATGGATACCCCTTCCCATTTCCAAGTTACCCTTCCTTTCCTACCCCTAATACAATGTTTGTATTATTATCACTTGTTATACAAAATTTTAAAACTTTAATAAAAATTATTTGAAAAGAAATGTCCAGAAAAGTCTTTGTTGGTGTGTTAAGAGT